ATTCCCCTGTTGATGCCACAGTCTCTTGTGTTGCTGATGTGGGAGCTGGGCTGCTTTGTGGGAATTGGGACTCTGACTCCTGTGAAGCTGTTCTCTGGCTTTATCCCGAAGGGGAGTGACTGGAGCTCTAGCCTTGAAACCGTGTCATTTCATGGCTGGGGCTTCCAGTGCAGGCAACACGCACAGGCTGCCTGGGGAGCGGTTTAAACACAATGCCGAAACTGGCTTTTCCCCAGTGACAGTGAATTTTCTGTGATGTGAGAGCATCATTCAGATGTGTCACTTAGTTATGGCCAGCCCCATTATCATCGAAGCAGGACTGGTAGTCCCTTAGTGTTCTGTAGCAGAATACTGTAGGAGTGCGCCTTAGAAGCAGGCAGGTGGTAATTGGTTCTGTGACAGGTGTTACCTTGTAAAAAAAAAAAAAAAACAAAAACCTCCAACCCTCCATTTTTGTGAAACTTCAAATTCATTTTTATTCTCCACCAAGTTTGTGAATGTGGGTCCTCTGCCTTCTTTTGTTCGCAAGTTATATTTCCTTGTTCCCCCCTGTAGGGAAGCAGTTCTTCAAAGTATGGCCAACCTCTGTAGCTGAAAAAAATTACATAACATTTATTTTACAGTGATCTGGAAAAGTAGGATGACAACAAAAATGGATACAAACACGTTTCTGTTGTGGTGACTCTTTTGGGGAGTAATAATTTTATCACACATGTCATTCATTTAAAACATACATTTCAGTGGTTTTTTAGTACTTCCACAGGATTGTGCTACCATCACCACAATCAAATTCAGCACATTTTTTATTTCCTCCAATATGAAACCCCATACCCTTTAGTAGTCACCCCTCACTGATACACTTGTCTCTATAGCTTTGTCTATTCCGGACATTTCATGTAAATGGAATCACACAACATGTGGTCTTTTGTGTCTGGTTTCTTTCACTTAGCGTGATGTTTTTAAGGCTTGTCCATGTTGTAGCATGTATCAGCACTTCATTCCCTTTTATGGCCCAGTAATATTCCACTTTAATGGATATACCACATTTTGTTTATCCATTCGTCAAATGACTGTCATTTGGTGATGTTACCATTTCTTCCCTGTTATGAATACTGCTGCTGTGAGTGTTTATAAGTTTTTATGTGGACATTAACACCTTTTAGTTCTCTTGGTTGTGTGCTGAGGAGTGGAATAAAAATATTAAAAAAAATAGAATGCAGGGCCTCCCCTGGTGGCGCAGCGGTTGAGCGCTGGGCTGTGAGGCTGCCTGCAGCCTCTGCAGCGCCGGTTCGTTCCCTGGCCACTGGTGAGGATTCCACAAAAAAAAAAAAAAAAAAAAAAAAGAATGCAAATGAATGAAATGTTACAGAATCTCTGAAGCACTTTGGAAACTATTCACTTCCACAGAGCAGTTTGTAAACCAGTGTTAAAGTGGAGAGGGTGTTGATTTTTGGTGTGTGTGTTTGTGGGGTAGATATGGGTAGAATCTTCATAGACCATGGTGTGAGTTTTGTCAGGTTACCTGTGAACATCTTTCTTTGTGTATAAAAAGTTAGAACCTCTGTATATCTTAGGGGTTGATACACTGCATAGTTGCTTATGAGTGTTCAGTGTCCCTCTCTGGATAACGTTTTTGGCCAGAGATGTGCTTTGTCCAGTGCTCTGTGAGGTGAGATGATGTCTGCCTTCTTCCGGGGAGAAGCTTTAAGAGCTAGCATGTAGTTTGCTGCATCTCTTTCCCTTCACGGTGCCTGACGATGTTTCAGATGGAGACACCGCTCCATCAGCTTGGGCACCAGAATGAAAATGATGTTGGCAGAGTCCCCATACCCAGTAGCCTTTGTAGTAGGAACAAGGGAAAGAAGTCACTTTAAGCCATTAAGATTTGGTGGCTGTTTGATATTTTAGCACTGTGATCTTCACGTGGAAGCAATTTTGCACCCCCCAACCCTGGAGCATAGTTTAGAGACTTCTTTGATTATCACAACTGGGGAAGGTGCTATTGGCATTTAGTGGGTAACACCCTGTATTCCAGTTAGTGCTGAACATCCTGTAGTGCACTGTCTGCTTTAAGGGATGATCTGCTCTAAGATGTTAGTAGTGCCAAGGTTGAAAAAAACTGTTTTAGTGTAACCTAGTTTATCTTGATTAATGCAGGGGTGTTAAGAGTAAATGGAATAAATTATATAAAATCCTTAACCCCCCTTGTTTTCGTAATCATGTGGTAGAGACTGCCAATGATTCTGAAGTCTTCCCTTGCATCCACTTATACCACATTCTGCTGGTCACACAGACAACCCTGATACAATGTGGGGAAGGGCCACACAAGGGCATCCTGAAAACCAGGTTCTGGAGATTACTGGGGGCCATTTGGAGGCTGGCTGTCACATGTGCAGGATCCTTACTTCCATAGTTGCAAAATTTTAAGTTGTTGTTGGGGGCCTCCCTGGTGGTGCAAGGGGTTAAGACGCAACCTATGAAGCTATCCGCAGCCACTGCAGCATGAGTTCGATCCCCGGCCACAGATCTACCCACATGGTGCAGCAGACCTCTCCTGACTCACCTGCTGCTCCCCTCAGCAGTGTGTTTTGTCAGTCTGCCTGTTCTGTTCCCCACCAGTCTCTGGTGAATCCTCTCACCCCCCGTACCTCTGGCCTGTACCCTAGTTCTTGTATACATACATAAATAAATCTTAAATAAATTTTAAGTTGTTTCACCTTTTCTTTTTTTAATTTATAAACAAATATTTTTTAATCAAGATTGTTTTGCAAAATACATACTCTGGGGCCTCCCTGGTGGCACAAGGGGTTAAGCACTGCACTATGAAGCAATCCGCAGCCTCCGCAGCACGAGTTCTATCCGCAGACTGCCAGAGAGAAACCCACATGGTGCAGCAGACCTCTCCTGTCATGGCCGCTGCTCCCCTCAGCAGTGTATTTCAGTCGGTCTGCCTGTTCTGTTCCCCACTCTGTCTCTGGTGGATCCTCTCGCCCCCCCTGCATCTCTGCCCTGTACCCCAGCTCTTGTATGCATAAATAAATAAATCTTTAAAAAAAATACACACTCTGATATACATCTGAATTTGTTTATCCTGAAAGTAAACAAACAGCTTAGAAAAAACAAACATATTTAACACTGACAAGCCTCTCAGGGTAATGCTGATAGCAAGCTACAAACAGCTTTATGTGGTGAATATAATTGGGGAACAGGAAGAAAAAATTATCTGTTGAAGCTACATTTAAATGCATCTGTGAGGAAAACATCTCTAGTATAATTAATTTCAACAATGTAAATAACTGCTCTGCCTCAATGGTAGTTTCTCAAGTTTTATTTTCAAACTTAGGAGATCTTGACTGAAGAAACTGGATCCTGCATTAGAATATTTATCCTCATCAGAGATGATGGGTGGGGGTTGGCTTATGTACAACATACAAATGGCAAAAATAAAAATCCAATGTGCTTTTATATAGGGAACTTAAGAAAATAATCGCCGCCTTTAATTATTTTTTAAATTTGTGGAATGCCATAATACATATTTTGAGACCCCCCCATTATAGGATCCACTATAATTATTTACACAGCTATTTTCTGCTTTTAATGTAGTTTTTTTTTAAACGTCAGAAGGGTAATGTGCCGATGTCGTAACAAGGTTTAAGGGCGGCACATCTCACACAGTCGCGTGAACACCCAGTCATCGTGCTTATGAACCGGAAAAGGATCTTAATGTAATTTTTATCCACTCTGTGGTAGCTCTTTAGATATTATCCACAGAGGTCACAAAAAATAATGCCAACATTCAAATGAGAAGTGGAAATGGAGAGAGGATGGGAGGATAAGGAAATTGGGTCATCAAAACAAACATGGTTTTTAAGGTTTCCTAACTAATGCCACACAACGTTACATATTTTGGACACACGCCACTGGGCAGCTGGGAGTGACCAGGAAATGGACTCTCCTCATTGCTAGATTCTTCACTAACCTGTGATCTGGACAGCTTGTTCACTGTTTTCACACACGGCTTGGTGAAGGGTGGTCGGGCTCCCTGCCTGCTCTGCTTTTTTGTTTTTTTTTAAAGAACACTTTCTCAGGGGGAAGAACCCCTAGCAAGGTCTGCAGCAGTGTAGCTAACTTGTTGCACTACACTTAGAGATGAACAAAGGCATAATGTATAAATGGCTTCATCATGGGCATGTGATCAGTCAGTCCCTTTCCTTCTTGAGATGGGGCAAACGGAAGAATGAAACCCCCCTACTCCTTTATAGTCGAGATTTTTCTCTTTCAATTAGAAAATTTTTAAAGAAATTTCAACTTTAAAAAGTCCTTATCATTCATCTCAAATTGCCCCCTCTTACACTTATATATAATAGTGTTTAAGACTTACGTGTCGGGGCCTCCCCTGGTGGCCTCTGCAGCTGTCCGCGGCCTCTGCAGCGCAGGTTCCATTCCGGCCGGCCGGCGAGGGTCCCCCATGGCGCGGCAGACCTCTCCTGTCTCGCCCACTGCTCCCCTCAGCAGTGCTTTCGGTCTGCCTGTTCTCCCCCTCTGTCTAGTGAATCCCCACACCACCACCCCCTGCCCCCCATCCCTGGCCCATACCCTGGTTCTTGTATGCATAAATAAATCTTAAAAAAATTTGTTTTCCCTTTTCTTTTTTTAATTTACTAACAAATTTTTTTAAATCAAGAACGTTTTGCAAAATACACACTTTGGGGCCTCCCTGGTGGCGCAAGGAGTTAAGCACTGCACTATGAAGCAAGCCGCAGCCTCGGCACCACGAGTTCAATCCCCAGCCAGCCAGGGAGAAACCCCCATGGCGAAGCAGACCTCTCCTGTCTCGCCCGCTGCTCCCCTCTGCAGTGCTTTCGGTCTGTCTGCCTGTTCTCCCCACTCTGTCTCTGGTGAATCCTCTCACCCTCTCACCCTCCCACGCCTCTGGCCTGTGCCCCAGCTCTTATATAAATAAAATCTTTTAAAAAAAAGAAGACATTGAGTTCATCTCTTCAGTAAACAGAATTTTATTATGCGGTGTCTTCTAGAAATGTAAGTGCTCTGTTTTATCAGCATGAGAATCATTCTCAAAGCAAATAGTCTCTAAGATTCCAAAGTACTCAGTTTTTTTTTTGATGGTATAGTTGAAGTAACAAAGTCTAAGATAAGCATGCAAAGTCAAAAAGGCCACAAGTCAAAATTCTGACATGTCACATTGGATCTAGAGACTTTTTTTTTTTTTCCTGAGCAAGTAATTTCTAACAAGGGCCTCCAAAATCTTGACCAGAGGCGCCTTGAATAGAGGCATCATACTCTTCAATAAAACGCTTCAGTTCTTGGATACACCGCTCACCAATTTCCTGTAAATTCCGCCTCAATGCAAATTGTATATGCTTTTCTAATGAAGGATCTTTTTCAACCAACATTTTCACGACCATCCCGAAAGTTTCACAGTCCTGCCGGTACGCCTGTTCAATCTCTTTGGTTTTGAACGCTATGGCTTTAGAACGACTGGTTAGCAGAATGTCTTCAAATAATTTTTTGCCGTGTGTTGCATTGGACTCAGGTTCTTCTGGCTGGTCAATTAATAATGGTGCCTTGGGGCCTGACTCATACTCAGCAATTTCAGGTGAGGCTCCCTCATCTCCCTCATCTGCCTTCTCCAGCTTTTCAGCAGCCCACTTGCTTGCAGCCTCAGGGAGTTCCTTGGTAGTCAGCTGACTGGGTATGTCTAACACCTTCGATGAAGCTACTGCTGAGGAACTTGAAGTGTGTCTCGATGTTTTCGATGACTGAACAGGCGTTTCTTTGCCTTCTCCTGGCTTTTCTTCATTCTGCCGTTGGTAGGAGGCACCAGCAGGCGTGGACTTTCTATGCTGGGGCTGCTGAAAAGAGTACGGGTTGCTTCTTTCTAGAGAGTAGCTCCTGTTGCCGACAGTGGTGTGAGATCTGCTGTGTGGAGAATCCTTTTGGCCTACAGGTGGTTGTCTGAGAAAAGGAGTATCTCTTTTACGAGAGCGACCCCTCACATAATCGGAAGTGTAGGAGCTCTTTCTTCTGGCGCCTTCTCTCATATCCCCGTAATCAGGCTTTCGGCGGGTGGAATGATCCTCTCTTGGCCACCTGTTGCCAGATTCAGCTCCTCTGTGAGGTGGACCCCTTCTGCGATCCAGAGAAAGCGCGCTTCTTTGATCCTGAGAAATCGCGCTTCTTCGATCGAGAGAAAGAGCGCTTCTGCGATCCAGAGAAAGAGCACTTCTCTGATCCTGAGGAAGAGCGCTTCTTTGATGGAGAGCAAGCGCGCTTCTGCGATCCAGAGAAACAGCGCTTCTTCGATCCAGAGAAACAGCGCTTCTTGGATCCAGGGAAACAGCGCTTCTTGGATCCAGAGTAACAGCGCTTCTTGGATTGAGAGAAAGAACACTTCTTTGATCCTGAGAAAGAGCGCCCCTTCGATCCAGAGAGAGCGCGCTTCTGCGATCCAGAGAGAGAGCGCTTCCTCGATTGAGAGAGAGAGCGCTTCTTTGATCCTGAGAAAGAGCGCTTCTTCGGTCGAGAGAAAGAGCGCTTCTTCGATTCAGAGAGTTCAGAGAGAGCGCGCTCCTTCGATCCAGAGAGAGCGTGCTTCTTCGGTCGAGAGAAAGAGCGCTTCGATTGAGAGGAAGAGCGCTTCTTTGATCCTGAGAAACCGCGCCTCTGCGATCGAGAGGAAGAGCGCCTCTTTGATCCAGAGACACCGCGCTTCTTCGATCCTGACAAAAACTGCGGCCGCCGTCATAGTTTCGGTAATCAACATCACTGTAATATCTACCGTAGCTTCCCTCACCAGCTGTGTTGAGCAGCGGTGATTTCTTCGGCGCAGTATTGCCTACTTTATGGTTGCCGTCACTGCGATGACCTCGAGGAGGCACACGTTTTCTTGGAAATCTTTTATAATCGTTCCGTCTTTCCGGCCACATCTCATCTCTTCTGTGACCACGACTCTGGGCTGCGGGGAGACCCCGTAAAGGTAGTTGTCTGCCCGTTGCCACGCTGCCGGCCGTCGTCGCTGCCGGCCGTCACTTCCGGCGTGTGCTTCTGGCGTGCGCGGTGACGTCATCTGCGTTCCCTTTTCATAATCTAAAATTCCAAACTAGAATTTCATACTTTAGAGTACCCAAATCATTCACAATGTAAATGCAAATATAAATTTGCTCTTCTAAACATTTAGTGAATTGGCAAAATAAAATACTTACTATAAAAGCTATATTGCAAGCACTTCATTTGGGGAATTTGCTTTTTAATGGAATGAACTAGCAGAAACCTCTTGAGTCCTGAGAGTTGGACGGCTGGTACTTGCTTCTCCCCCCCCCCCCGACCCCCTTGGAAAATCTCCCTGTACCAAATACCGAATTCTTCATTTTCTAAAACCCTTCCAACTTCCTTATGTTTTTATTGCTGATTTGATGTGTTTGAATGTCAGCCAAAATATAAGATAAATGGTAGATGCAAGGGCTGAGTGGTTTCCATGGAGACTTCTTGCAGGAGCCTTGCCTTTTTTCATTCAGCTATTGCTGGGAAGCATCCCTTTCCAGTTAATGTGTGGTTTCCAGCAATTCAAGCAACTCTTAGGGGATTTGTTTAAACAAATTCAGAACTAAGTTTTTCTATCTATCTTTAAGGTTGAAATGGGTTTTACTGAAAGTTGGGATTGTTAACTGCTTCTCTTTCCAAAGCAGTCTAACTATACTTCTGTTATTTCACTTCGTTTGCACTTTGGAGAATAAAAGAAGGACCTTGACTGGGTACAGAGGTATGTGGATTTACTGTGTCTAGTCGTGCAACCATGAAATAAAATATGTTTCCACCTCAGGAATCAGCCATCACTTTTAACCACCATTGATTGCATTGGCTTAAAGCTTTTTGCTTCCTCTATGTATTTTCCTTTTTCTTTCAAAATTGTGTTCAGTTGGATGTGACCAATTCTGCACTGAGGTTGGCTCACTCACTTTCATTCTTGACGTCCACTATCCTAATGTCACGCTTCATTTACACGGTGATAGCTTTTCTTGACTTCATCTGTTGACTTGACATCCTGTGCATCATCTTTTCTCTCTTAGATACAGGAAGATTTAAAACATTCAGGATTTTGAAGAAAAATTGTAAAACCGAAGTGCACTGTGAAAGGGGGAACTTTAATTTTAATTTTCACTGTAGCCAGAAGAGTGATGAATGCGCACTACCTGTTGCAGATGGGCAGGCCAGTCAAGGTCAAGCCGCTCAACAGTACTGTGTTTGGTTTTTAAGTGTAGCTGTGTACGGGAGATCTTACCATAATCAATAGTGGTTAAAATAAAAAATGAGGTGTAGTTTCAAAATATTCTGGGTGGTAGCACAGGGGTCGAGTTGTTGCCTAATATTTGACAGTCAGGCAGCTGGAGGTTTTTCTAAGTCTAAGATATTCATTTACCAATTTTAAGAAATTTTTTGATCATTATAAATGCATGTCTGATACTTTTCTGGTTTTGAGGTTTTGTGGGCAATCATTTTGCAAAGGGGCCAGAATGAAAAATAAACATGAATTATGAAAATCCATTTGAAAGACCGATTATGCTGTGATTCAGTGCAGAAGTTTTTATACTACTTATGTACTGGCTTTACCTTTGGGACCAGCATTCTTAAGAGCTGATTTTTACTTTGGACTTTCTAATGTGTGTCAGTTATGTCAGCTCATAAGCATGTTTACATCTGTGCATCATGTTATATTGAGACTTGGCTGGAATATAAATCTTTTATTGACCTAAATCTGAGTCTAATCCTCTGCATGACTTTGGTAGAAAATCAATTTCCTCTGCCCTGTCAAGATTTTTCAGGTCAATGCTCTTTGGAAGTTTCCCAAACTGTTAGATTAAAATAGATTTTGTTTCTCTGCTACATACTGGTATTTATCAATAGTGTACTGGGATCTAGAAAGCAAGGAGAACCACCTGACAAGATTTCCATAAGTTCTGTTTCAGGTGACTTGTTGACAGTGCACCTTTGCAGAGCCAAGGAGTTTGTGTATATGAAAGGCACCTTTGGGGAAGCGATTATAAATGACACCTGTGGGTGAGTTTTGTCCACTTGGTGGCTTGCTCGCTAGCTTGGGCCATTGGAGGTGGGCATATGGTGACCAATTGGACATTCTCCGTTTTGGCACTAGAAGTCCTGTATCCTGGGAACCTCCTTCCTCCCAGCCAAGCCAGGATAGGCTGGTCAGTCCCCTTGGCAGTGAGAAGTCTGGAAATGGATGATCTGGAACTGGCAGTATCCTTGTAGATACTTTAAGGAGGGACTTATTATGGACATGTAGCATCTTGCTGCCCAGAGGTAGCAGTGGGGTGACTACTTCTGCTTTGACTTGACTGCAAAACAGTGGAGTGAGAAGAGGAGGTTTTTTTGCCTTCTGAAGTTAAGAGTATGTGTTTAGGGGATGTTTTGGCAAAAAATTATTACCCTTCATTTTTATTTTTATCCTTCTCCTGGATAGTGCAGCAACCTTTAACTCCACTTATCCCTTCTCCCAATTTATGTTATTTGTGCCCTGTATTTTAGTACTATATATATTAAACTCCAAGCTCTTCAGAGGCTTTGAATTTGTCACTTATGCCGCCACGGAGGAGGTAGGCGGAGCCACACAAAGTGGGTGGCAGAGTTGTGGAACCACAGAGGACTGTGTAAAGAGAATATTCTCAAAGACCCGGTGTCCGCTTAACTGTTGAAAGGATTTCTGTTGGTGACATTAAAGAGGACACTATACCTAAGAGATTATCTTAAGCTGTATGGGAAAAATCGAAGTGATTGAAATCATGACTGATCGAGGCGCCTGCAAGAAGAGAGACTGTTTTTGTAACCTTTGATGACTATGAGTTTTGTAGACAGGACCGTCATTCAGAAATACCACACTGTGAAGTCAGGAAAGCCCTATCTAAGCAAGAGATGGCCAGTGCTTCAGCCAAAGAGATTGGCGTGGCTCTGGAAACTTTGGTGATGGTTATGGAGGTAGTTTTGGTGGGAACAGTAGCTTTTGCTCCTGGAGGAAATCAGTGGTCTAGGTGGCTTTGGTGAGCCGTGGTGGTGGTGGATGTGGTGGCAGTGGGGATGGCTACAATGGATTTGGTGGTGATAGAAGCAATTTTGGAGGTGGTGGAAGCTGTAATCATTTGAGCAGTTATAACAATCAATTTTTAAAGTTTGTACCCATGGAAGGAAAAAAGCAAGGAGGCAGAAGCTCTGGCTCTCATGGTGGTAGAGGCCAGTATGTTGGCAAAGCACGAAACCTAGGTGGCTGTGGTGGTTCTAGCAGCAGTAGTAGCAGCCTTGGCACTGGCATAAGTTTTCAATTAACTGCCAGGAAACAAAGCTTAGCAGGAGAGGAGAGCCAGAGAAGTGACAGGGAAGCTACAGGTTACAGCAGATTTGTGAACTCAGCCAAGAACATTGGTGGCAGGGCCTTGCTGCTGCAAAGAAGACATTTTAGACAATACTCACGCACATGGGCAAAAATCTTGAGGATTGGAGCTTCCCTGGTGATGCAAGGGGTTAATAGGCCGCACTGTGAAGCTATCTGCAGCCACTGCAGCACGAGTTCGATCCCCGGCCAGGGAGGTGACCCACATGGCTCAGGAGACCTCTCCTGTCTCACCCGCTGCTCCCCTCAGCAGTGTATTTCAGTCGATTCGCCTGTTCTGCTCTGCACTCTGTCTCTGGTGAGTCCTCTCACCCCTCGCATGTCTGGCCTGTACCCCAGCTCTTGTATGCATAAATAAATCTTTAAAAAAAAATCTCGGGGACTGTATTTGTGACTAAATGTATAACATTTTAGGTTCTGTTCTGTGGAAGGTGTAAAGCATTCCAACAAAGGGTTTTAATGTACATTTTTTGTACCCATTCTGTTGGTTGTTATAAATATAATAGTCTGATCGAGATGTTGAATCATGATTGTCTTTTTAAAAGAAAAAAACAAAAAAAATCAGTTGTATTTCTAGCTATTAACAGTGACCATGTGGACACTGAATTGGCAATGTTATTTATAGTTGCTGAAAAAAAATAGGTGTTAATCTAACAGTATGAACAGGACTTGTGTGATTGAGAACTACACAGTGATGATAAAGGGAAATCAAAGAAGATCCAAATAAATGGAGAGACATACCATGTTTATGGATTAGAGGACACAACATAGTAAGATGTCAGTTCTTCCCAAATTGATACATGGATTTAATATAATTCCTATAAAAAAATCCTGGAAGGTTTTTTTGGGTAGATATAGATATGATTATTTTAAAATGTACATGGAAAAACAAATTAGAATTAGAATAGCTAAAACAATTTGAATTTTGAAAAAATGGAATTTTGGGGTAAAAATAAGGTAGGAGGAATTAGTCTGCCTAGCTTCAAGGCTGCATAGTATTGGTGGAGGGATAGATAATACATAGATCAATTAAACAGACAAAAAAGAACCTAGAAATAGGCCCACAGAAATATGCCCAGTTGATGTTTGACAAAAATTGCAAAAGCGAATCAGTGAGGAAAGATAGTTTTTTCAAAAAAGATTGTGGATTCATTGAAGAGCAAATCTCCCATCTTACACAAAAAACAAAGTGGATCACAAATGTAAATGTAAAACATAAAACTAATTTTTTCACAGAAAAAAATAGAAAAATTGTGGGACCTACGACTAGGCAAGTAGTACTTGACCTGTTAGCAAAAATATAATCCATAAAAGGGAAAAATGATGAATTGGATTTTATCAAAATTAAAAACTTTTGCTCTGAGAAAGACTCTTAAGAGACAGTGAAAAGTGGGAAAAAATATTTGCAAATCACATATGTGACAAAGGATTATATGTAATATGTAAGTAACTTTCAAAATTCTTTTTTTTTTAATTTTATTTTTTGCATAAAAGAACTGGGGTGTAAGCCAGAAGTGCGGGGGGTGAGAGGAGTCACCAGAGACATAGTGGGAAACAGAATAGGCAGATTTACTGAAATCCACTGATGAGGGGAGCAGCAGGCGAGGCAGGAGAAGTCTGCTGCATC